AACCAGTGTCACATCCACAGTCAGCTGATACTCTTCCACGAGCTCCTTGAGAGTGTTCAGCTGACTCCTAATGAGCATTTTGTCTGCCACCTTGGTGTGCACTTGCGCTCTCCCAGTCAGGGTATCTGATACCCAGTGGTACATGCAAATGGAATCTATTTTTACGTGTAGCGTCTTGCTCTGCCACTGGAGTGACAAATTGACACCTTTCAACATGGCATCCAGCTCGGCTAGGTTGATATGTTGAGCTTTGTCTTTAGGTTGCAGCCAGCCAGCATCCTCCAGCACTGTTTCATGGCTCTCTAATGCCACTCCTATCACCAGGGAACTGGCATCAACCCACAGTTTCAGCTCCTGGCCATCCACGCACCAATCCCTATGGGCCAGATCATCTCCCTGCACAGAATCCACGGTCTCATGCGCTGGAGGAGGGTATCCTTCATTTCATAGTCTCAGCCCTTCGTAACCGAACTTGCTCTCCTTTTGAGCATTCTGCAGGCCACACGGAGCCAACCACACACTGGGGGATGCCCAACAAGCCTTCCATACAGAGAGAATACCTTCCACCACATAACAACACTAGGGATATTAAGAACCACGCTTCCTCGCCTCCACCGCAATTTACCTTGTTCCAACGTGGCCGCCAATCCTAGTACCCATGCGCCATCCTCCAACCATTCTGGGTCCTTGCATTCCAGCTCAAACTGGGCCAGATGTTCTTTAACACAGGTTGCTGAATGACATCTTCATTGATATAGATGCCGTCGATGTAAGCGGATGCCGCGTGACACACAGTTTCTTCCTGAGCCAGCACCATGCTAATGATCACCTTCATGATGAGTGGGGAGCCATGTTTAATCCAAATCCTAAACGTGTCAGGCAATATCTTTTTCCGTCAATTTTCACTATCTGGTATGACCAGAGTGACTCATGGACGTGTTCATGGAGGTACACTTTCCCGAGATCCAACAAAGACATGTTAGATCCCTTCTGCCGCCATTCACGCAGTTTAGCTGCACAGACATCTGCATTGGCTGTGAAAGCATCAACGTGATGATGGAGCTCCCAGAAGTCCATCACTGGACATACTTTAGACTTGTTCTGCTATAGTACAGCCATCAGGGGAATTAGCCCTTTGGGAGGCCCCAGTTTTTCTTCTGGGTATGATACAAGCCAGCCGTTGTACACCCACATGCGGAGCTCCTGCTCATAGTCCTCTCTGATCTCTGCTACTACCGGGTACTCAGAAACCCCATTGTGCAGTCTTTCAGGCGCACAGTCCTCTGACCACTTCCATGCCCGAATCCAGGATTGCCTCCAATGGTCGAAGGTGGCAGTGAAGTCGGGTTCATCAACAGTAATGGCTGCACACTTAGCTGTTTGCCCATTGCCAATCTGTACTTGCACCGTTGGCCCAACAGCAATGCCTCCCAATGCTGTTATGGTATCAATCTCCTATAGCAGGTCAAATACCAGCAGTTTACCATGCACCACCAACATGTCGATCTTGGCAGAACTGCCTTCCTCCGTGTATATGGTTACCACTCCTACACCACAACATGGACAGGACATGCCTCCAATAATCATAATGTCCACCATCACCCTCTTCCAAGACAGGCACCGATCTGCATCCACAATCGTCCGTGAACAGCCAGTATCAATCAGCGCTGAATACCAAGTTCTGTTGAGAAGGATGTTTGCCACTGGGAGTGCCGTATTTACATCTTGGTTGGGGAAAAGGCTGGCACTGATGCCTTGTCCCCTGTAGCGTTTCTCGAACAGTCTCGAGCCCAGTGTCCAACCTCCCCACATCGATAGCAGCGTGTTCTGTGCTTCCAGCAGTCTTTTGCTATGTGGCCTTTGCTGCTGCACCTGAAGCAAGTCACACTGGTGATTGGGCCACTCTTGGTTGGAGACATTGTTACTACGAGGTGGGTGCACAGCCACAACTACGTCCTGGCTTTCATCCCCAGCTGTTGTCAGCACTCTTGCTAATAACTCCCCCAGTCAGAGCTTCAACATTTGGTGCCTGTCGGAGTTCAATGGAGATCGTATCAGGGAACCCCATGACGAAGACTAGTTGGTGAACCTTTATATCTCAACTCCCTCGAACCCACCCAATCCAACAAGCTGCCTGATTTTGTTCGCATAGACGTCCACACGTTCGTCAGTCCACCTGACTATGGTCAGTTTTCTGCATGCTGAAAACATGTCGTCCGTAAATGCCTCCTTCAGCCTGGCTTCAATCCGATCAATGTCTCTCTGATCTCTCTACTCCATTTTCATGTAGAGGGCTAGTGCATCCCCCTCCAGGTACAATGGCAGCAGGCTAGCCACATCATCCACCTGCTGAAATCTACCAGCCTGACCTTTTTTAGCCACGCCACCACATCACCCTGGCCGGAAAATGGTTTTATAATTTTGCTGATTATGCGAATCTTTGCCATAACAGCCAAAATAGCTTGTAGGAGAAGAAAAATAAATGTTGATGAGGGTTTTTTTTTTTCTTCTTCAGTCGCCTCAAGGAAATGCATTGCGTGACTCCCTTTCTTAGCCGTTATACTGTCGTGAAATAGACACCAACTCAACTGCACCTACATTTATTACTTATTTTTGTTTGGCAAGTGTAGTGAGTGAGTACAGTGGCATACCCAGTTGTTATCTCCAAAAGTAAAATTTCATCCTATAGAAACTCTCAAAGCATCTAATTTCTCAAAACTTATCACACAATGACAATTTTTATTATAGGTTTAGTTTTCTCTAATAATGTTTTTCATGACCCAACATCCAAGCTTCAAAATTGACAAAAAAAAAATTAAAAAATACTGATACCAAAAAAAGCAGAGACAGACCTCGCAAACAAGGATATGTCACCAGAATAAACCTTGCAAATAAAACCTTATTCAATGTTATTATTGAAAGTTACCTTATCTAAAACAGTCTAAACAAAAGCAAACTAACCACAACCTTGAAAATTTTTTTTAATTTCAAATTATTCATTTCTACCAAAATCTTTTAGTAAAATTTAAGAATATTAAATACAGCATGTCTAAAAGATCTATACTGAAAATAAACTACTAAAAAGAAAAACTCATTAATTCTGTATATTGTTTATCTAAAATAATTATTAGTATTATAATTCTCAATGAAAAAAACTATAAATGTTATATTTATAGCTGTCTTAGCAACATATATCTCACTATGACAATTTTCTTTGATTTATATTGGAAACATTAAAACAAGAAACTTAGGGATATGTAAAATATGGATTTATATACAAATAAATAAATATGTGCTAAATAACAATTCACATCTCAAAAATAGAGCAAATAACATTTTCAAGTGTTCATTTTTAGCATTTCTACTCATGAAAATATATCTACAAATAAAAATTATTTCTGAAAATGACACAGGAACTGTAGAAATTTTCAATGGAAAAATCAATGTGAAAAGTTTAGCAGGAACCCAAATTTCCATTACCATGCCTTATTACAGATAATGATCATTTGCAAAGAAAAAATAATTTTGCATATATATGTCACCTACAGACAGACCGATTCACAGCTCATCAGTGTGACTAGACATCTTATTGCCTCAAACCAGAATCAAAACCTGACAGATTTGGTATCAATTGGAGATTTTACCCCTAAGCCACTGGTGCATGGCAGGGTTGAAGGTGAATTTAGACATATTTATTTTTAGACAAACACGCCAGTGACCAGAGAACTTAATTCATCTTAATGAAGAATCTTGCATCAGCAGCAGTAATAGTTACCGTTTACAAATTAACTTCTCTCTCTCACTCTATATATATATATATATATATATATAGATAGATAGATAGAGAGAGAGATAAGAAGTAATTAAATAAAATCAAAGTTTCAGCAAAGGAATCTTTCCTGATCATATTCAAAGTATTTTTTCAAAGTAAGGAACAAAAAAAAATCCAAAATCCATATACACTCCTGGTCAAAATCTTAAAACCAGCTACAAAAGGGCTAAAAAAAAAAAAAAAAAATATAAAATATTGTTGCATATATCGAAATACATTTGCGAAATATTTACATTTAGTTAGAAAATGTTTTCAGCGTTACTGGCATGCAAAAGATGTCCCAAAAGAATATGACACAGAGGTGGATCAATTATGATCTGGGGGGTTCATTTTTGTACAATGGAACTCTTTAGTTACAGGAGGTAAAATGTTGTCAAAAAGCTGCTAGTTACATTGACATGTTAAGAAAGGCATTGCTAATTACTGAAAGTCTTCATCTATGTGGAGAATACTGGATTTTCCAGCAGGACAATGCTGCAATCCACTACACCCAAAGGTCGACAAAGTTTTTTATGGAAAACAACATTCAGCTTTTAAGCCATCCACTGTGCTCTCCAGATTGAAACCCAATTGAGAATGTTTGGGGATGGATGGCAAATGATGTTTATAAACATGGATCCTAATTTGAAACTGTTGATGCTCTTCATTCTGCAGTTTATGCATCCTGGGCGAGCATCTCAAACACCCTCATGTAGAAGTTAATGAGTATGCCAAAGTGAATTTTCAAAGTAATTCACAAAAATGGAGGATATACTGAATATTAAATTGTTATTGTGATTTATTTGTTCTGTATTTTCAATTTTTATTTACATGGTTTTATCTTTATGACCAACCAAAAAAAAATACTTTTTCAATGTTTGTTTAAATTAATCAATTAAAAGCTTAAAATTTTCACTTGTTTGTTGATAAACTACATTTTCTAATTAAATGTAAATGTTTCACAAATATATTCCAATTAAAGTAACAGTATTTTATATTTCTTTAGCCCTTTTGTATCTGGTCTTATGTTTTTGACCAGGAGTGTAGCAATGCAATATAATGTAAAACTGTATTCCCATTCACAATAAATCAACATTATTCAAAATAATATACTGAATGTTGTTCAAAAGTCAGTTTAATGTGTCAATAAACACAGAAGCAGAAAGATAGGTGGAAAAACAACACTTACCAAATCCATTAGCCGTTCTAACTTGCAGATTTCTGGTGGTAAAGAAATCAATTTGTTGTTGTTTGCTAATAAAACTTCTAACACTGGTAGAGAACATAGGAAAGCTGGTAATGTTGTTAGCTGATTTCGGCTGTAAAAGAAAATATTATTCAAACATCAGATAAGAACACCGTATTTTAATTTTTTCATGCAAAAGATAAATATTTGTTTTTAATGTCTGGAAATCTTTTACTTAACCTGTTAATATCAAACCGTAAATGTTTTAATTGATGGCACTACTTTGCAAGACCATAAATTTGATAAATATTAAATCTTTATTTAATTGAAAAATATAAAGAGAAGTAATCAATAAAATTAAATGAAGTCACCATTCATATAGAGTTTATCATTATCTGTAACTAGTACAATATCCCACTCTAGCCTAAGGTTATTTTTTTAATGTACTTTAAAATTAATACTTTAGAATAGAAATCTAAGAATGCATTTTTGCTCCTACAACTTTAATACAATTACAAAATGGCTTTCTAAAATTATCATATTATAAAATTATCAAAAACTATGCATTTAGTTACTCAATATTATAGAAAGTATTTTACATATAGTTCTAATATATTTGTAAACAGTCATAACTTCCAATTATTACTTTATATGCTTTTCATATTGCCAAAGTTTAGAATGTATTTTATAACTCCTTTATAAACAAAAAGAAAAATCCAAATTTTAAACAAACTACTATACAGAAAAGATATGTTGATGTGATTTTTGCTATCGTGAAATAAAATCTTGAAAAAGAGAAACATTTAAATACAAATGAAAAAAAATCATCATGGATAACAAGTCTTTCTGGGAATCTTTTATAAAAAAATTGGCTCATTATTTGTTTGTTTTATTATATGAAATTTTACCAAAATAAATTTTAACTAAGGTTATTGAACATGAAATTACAAATTTTGTTTTCAAACATTTTTACTGGCTTATTAATTGTTAGCATATTTTGTCATTTTATTTTTTAAAGAAAATACTATTTGTTGATTTTAATTTTTTTTTAGGTAAATATGCAATTTTCAACTTATTTGCAGCATTTCAAAAGCTCAAAAATAGGGTATATAAATTTTGCACTTCAGGAAATGCTGCAGATGCATGAACATGCTCACAAATACACATCAATGAAATTTTGAAGATTATGATTTAAAAAAAAAAAAATTCTCCCCAAACCTCAGATATCTTACAAACTTCATTGTAATGAATGGAAACAATTCAAATAATTTCAGTGTTATTGGGAGGGGAGATAAACAAATTCTTTTTGAACTGAATATAGAGAAAAGTTTTAGAAGCGTGCATTAATCATGTTTTCCATTTTTTTTAGATTTAACTGCTTATGAAAATAGTAATAAATATTTGGAAATTTCCTATCTTTCCTTTTCTCTTGTTGAAAGAAAAGTTAGAAATAATTTGATAACACCGATGTACTCAAGCTAATCAGTGTATATAAAAGTATAAAATAAAAAGATTAATTAAAAATTGTTTTGACAACCAAATTTGCTTAAAAATGGATAAGGCAAAGGAAGACATAAAATATTTAATTAAAATAAATAAAATCAATAATAATAAAAATATAGTGTAAATTACAAATGAAAATAACCATTTCTTTTTTGAAATATTCATCTTCATTTGTATAAGAGAAAAAAGTTTTGTTTTTTTTTGTTTTGTTTTTTTTTTCAAAAGGAAACGTTGAAAATAAATAATCAGTATCACTGAAGCCAAATATTGTTTTTCATCCTACACCAACAGAAGCTTGATACAATCTCTCAAAATTTAGTTCAACAAATGATATTTTACCACCAGGAAATATGATCTGTATACATAAAACCAAACAAGTGGGAGATAGTATAAAGATTGTGCCAATCTTCAAAGTAAGTTTGCCTTGAAAATCAGCATCCAAAATCTCTAAGTTTTATAAGAAATTGAACAGTGACAACTGGGTGCAATTAACTCCCCATGCAGTCTGTGTGTGCCTATTTTGGGGGAACAATTCAAAGAAATTTAATAAATATTTTAAAAATAATTCATTAATGAAGATTTAAAGCACTTCATAAAATCATTTTATTCTGCTCTACTCAAAATGTACATTGTAGTATCTATCTAATGCAGAACACAAACAAAAATATTTGGTTTCTTCAATATCAATACAAAAGCAACAATGGGAATATTAGATTCCCAAGTTGTCAGTAGCCTGAAATATGATAAAACCAATGGATATTTAGTATTTTTCTAAAACTTTAGTATTTTTTCAAAACCTAACTACTTTATGCATCTATAATATGGAAACCACAGTCCACAATAATATAGGACAACTGAAATGATATAGGTATTAGACAGACTGCTAGCTTAAATTTATACACAAACAGACACCATATATACTCTATTATTGTGTGAGGTTTTATGACCAGTTTTTTTAATGCAAAAAGTGGGTGAGGGTCACATTATACACAGTTAATTTTTTTGAATAGACTAAAAATAGATTTTCAGTGACTGATTGCACTATACACAGGTAAACATTTTTTCTGGAGGAGTTAAAATTCATGCAAAAAAAATTCAGGGGTTCCACTATATATGAAGTCAGCTTATACACAAGTGTATACATGATATACTAGCTTAAAAGCCGCCCTATTGGGCAGCATTTAACCTAGCTCTTACGGAGGGCTCTTGATTGGGCCTTCATCATACTAGGTAGGGAGAGAAGTTGTGACAGGCAACAATAAACTGCAAAAGGACTCAAAATTGATCGCTGCATTTAAGCATTGCATTATAATTTAAACTTTCCTTTTAAAAGTTCAGCGATAATTCTTCTGCCTCCACTTAATTTAAAGACAATTTGATGTACGTATGTCCTTACTTTCCATACAAACAATTATTTTTATTTCATGAGTGACTTTCACAATTTTTATCCCCAAATTTATTTCCAAATTAAAAAAAATTGTTATCGTACAAAAAATTTGCTGCAAAAAAAAATATAAATAAATAAAAAAAAAATAAAACAAAAAAAATTTTAAAAAATCAACGAAAACAATGGCAGTAATGAAAACTTGGGAATCCAGGGTTGTAGGTCCGGATCTGGGCCAGAATGTTTCCAATTTGCTCAGAGCCAGCATGATTCCAAAATGTTGGCCTATGGTCTCTAGGAGTAAAGTTGAAAAAGTGTGACACACTGTCATTCACTTTCATTATATAGATGAAAGTTTGATTGAAAACCAACACAAGTTCCTGATTTTTTTTTTTAATTTTTCTTCAGTTCAAACAATTTGAATGTAAATTATCTAATGTATTCCAAGCACTTTCAGCTTTCATAAGACATAAATGTTTTATTTTCATGTTGATGGGATTGTGTCTATATGTATACATTGTGTTTCTTTTGATAATTTTTACGTGCAATGTCTTCATGCATTTAGTTGATGTCAGGTTGTTTCCAAGTATCCTATTTCAACATGTCAGTTTATGGGGTTGTGAAATATATTTAGTATATTTGTTATTAAATTGGATTAAATTTTATGGATGTTTGTTTATTTTTTTATGATTAAGGCTTCTAATATTTGGAGTTGTTTTTTAATAGTTTATGTGGTATAGTATTTTTGTGTTATTGATAAGGATTTTGGGGATTTCTTGCTGCATTTTGTTATTGTACTGCTTAGTGATGTTATCTAATTGAACTATTATCAGTGACAAGTTAACCAGCACAATAATGTAGTAATCACGTAACAAATGTATATGCTGTGTGAATTATTAGACAGAGGTTCTCCAAGTGAGCAAACAAATTCATAGACAATTTTGGTTTACATTTTTTATGTATCACTGATGATAATAATAAGGGTATTTTTGTAGTAAGTAATGAATTTAAATTGTTTTTGCATCGATGTATTAGGGTTTTTTTTTGTTTAGTTTATGGCTATTAAGTAGTCGATTTCAGTAGAATAGTTTAATAGGGTTTTTATGCTATTATTTGTATTAATTTTTGTTTTTTTGAGGTGAGTTCAATTTGTTTATCAGAGTAGTCAGGGAAATCATCAATGTTTGTTTTATGTTTTTGAGTTCATTACAAAATATTGCGCATGTAGAGGATATTGAGTGTAGTTTAGCAAATTATTTATAATGGTATCTATATGGTCATTTGCTGTTTGAATTGAGACACGATACCTGAAAAATACAATGATTCCCACTGGTTTGTCAAGACTCAAAAACTACAGAAGAAAACAATGCATGCACATAATCCCATCAACACAAAATGTAACTCTTTCATATGTCTTATGAAAGAAGTGCTCAGAAGATATTGTACATTTTATGTTCAAGTTTTCTCCAGAAAAACAGTTCAAGCTAGAAAAATGAAATAAAAAAACTTTAACAAATAATTTTCATTGGTCCTCAATCAAACCTGCAAAAAATGCTACCCAAATATATATAAACAATATTAGTTTGTGTGACATAGTGAAACACTTTGATGGACACCCCTCACATTTGGTGTGCAGAATCATCAAATCCAGAACATAGTATTTCTTTGTTGAAAATTTATTTTTTTAAACCAATAATTTACAGCCAGTGTCAATGCAATTGAACTATAACACTTGTAAATAATGCCATTATCAAAGAGATTGCAAGTGATATTTTTTAGTTATCCATTACATTCTCCTTAATATTAAAAGTTATCGTAGACTACTATAAATATCTATCAGTTTTGCCAAATTTGACTGACAGTCTTACCAGTAAGTGTTCAGAAGATATTTACCAATACCAAAATAATTCTACAGCAATCATAACCAGCTGCAACCTCAGTTTTGACTTTAATATTGCATAGATAAGTATTTCTATCAGGCATTTTTTCAGTCCACTACAAGAACCAGGTCTTTCTCAAATCTGTCAGATTTTAAGTATATATATATATATATATATATATATATATATCTGCATGGAACTTCTCTGAAAGAAACATTACCATCAATGTCATTTTACTGTCATTCTTGACCTGAAACTTCAGCTAATGCCCACATCATAATTACCACCGGACCTTAAAAAATGTGCAACACAGTGTAAGAGAGTTGTCGGGACCGGAGAAGAAGTCTCTTATATCCGGGTTTCTCT